AGCATCACTTAAGCTACTTACATAACAAAAATCATGATGATCCGTCCACCGGTTCTTGAGTTATCCTCTTATGAATATTTTCAAAGAAATGGCCCTGCAGTTCCTGAGCAAGCCGATAGGGGGCCCAAACCTATGTCACTTATTCCCCAGCACAAGACCTACCTACCATCCAAATTTCGTGACCCTAGCACGTCCAGATCACGAGATATCAAAACCGGAAGTTCAGCTGCAGTACCATAAGAAGCCGCCAGGGGGCCCAAAATCTAATCATTTCGAGGTCTCATCAAGACCTACCCACCTACCAAATATGAAGTCAATCCATTTAAGCCTTCTCAAGTTATCGTGTTTACAGACAGACAGACAGACAGACAGACACACACACGAACGCCTACGAAAACATAACCTTCTTGGCGAAGGTAAATATGTTTACCTGAAGTTCTATCAGTGACCATGTACCATTAAGTCAAGCAATGAGTTACAAAAGAGTCGATAACAACCTACCTTGATACTATTTTGATTTGACCTATTAAACAGTGTATAAAGAGATTTAAAAAAAAAGAGATGCATCAAACCAGGGCGAAAAAAACCCTTCAAAATACTGGATATCGATGAGAAAATCTAATATAGACATTTCCTGCAATTTCATAGCACACTTTTGGCATTAATTTAATATTTGAAGCATTTTACATAGCCCAAAAACATGTCAAAAAAGGAGTCCTTAGATTTTGGAGGTTGAAATATGGTACCATCAAGTACAAGTAACAGCAAGAAGCTAGTTCCAGCATACGATTTAAAACAAACAACCGTTTTCGCCTTGGCATTTTTTGTTCATCACAGATTGGGTTGATTCAACTCTAAGAACTCAACAATCTAAGACATGGCTTAGGCTTTAAAAATCAAGTGTTACTGTCCTAAAATGGCTTTGAATGTTTTTAAATACGGTGCGATGTCTTTAAATACGGTGTCTCCGAAGTCCAGGCAGATCTTTATTCTTTTTAAAAGCCCCGGCCGCTAATGCCTAATCATTCCTATGCATGTTTGATAAACAAACCATAGACATGGCGATATTTATAAAAAAAGAGATCTGGTCCCCATACGGAGTAGATCACTACTTGGATATAAAGTATAAAGTCGTTTCATCAAACTTACACTACTTCTGAGAGATATAGGGGTTCCGGAAATAAATTAGATATGTTGCAAGTCAGTCACTGCCAAACATTTCAATGTGGACTTTCGGGGGGGGTGGTAGACTTGGAGCGGGTGGGGGTGGTAGACTTGGTGGGGGTGGGTGTTGGAGCGAACCGGAGAAACAATGGGATGGATTCCAGTGTAAGTTAACGTCACTCGCTCCAACAACTCACTATGCCACGTGTTATCTTGGAGTCTCTTCAGAGTAAATTAGTCATACAAGTTTTGTTTAGCTTGGCATGCACGTCCATTTGAATGCTATGATAACAGATTATGAGTGAGTTCGTGCTCCAATAACAAATCCATTTTGTCAACGTACGCTCTGGTGTTTCTGTTTTCCTTTAAACTTTTTGACGCCAACTCTCTGTGTTCTA